CTAGTAGGCGGGGCTTTATTCACCATCTTGACCGCTACACTTTTCCCCACTCAAAAATATATGAGTGACATGTCTTGTGTATTCTAGAGTCTTTGCTAAAATGAAGTGTTGCCATCATGGATGTTTTGCAATACAGTCTTCCATATGATGAAAAAGCTTCTTATTGGTAACTGATTTTTAACAATAAATGATGCACCTCCTAAAGCAGAACTTTAATGAAGAGGTTATTTTTATCTTTCTGCTTTTTCAAGTCATTTTTAACATTTATCATGTTTCATTCCATTGAAAGACTACAAAACCTATGTAGCAGTGTACAGAAAATTCCACCAATCAGAGGTTGCTACTCAGTAGGTGCTGGAATTTAATACTCGACCGTCAGAAAGTACGTTACCGCATGAATGTCAGTAGTATGAATGAAGCTCAGACATACTACATCTACCAATTTATCATAACAATAAGACCTACCCGTGTCAGTTGCGTTCACTCCTAATTATGTATTCTCTCACACGTTGCATCATGGGATAGCTTAACATCCATCGGATGCGCAATTCGCCAGAATTACAGAATCTCACCAGAAGTATTAGGTCATCACGGTACTTCTCGCATACTGTTTTTTGCAATTCTATGAATTCAGACATACTACTCACCTCGCATACTGATTTTAGTGTACTATATAGTACGCAATTTCAGACGCAGCCAGAGTATCAGTGAACAAACATGCCTACTTCCACGCAGCAACACGAAGGACAGAGTTGTTCTTCTTGAACTCTCACAATACTCACATTGATGTGCATTGATCTATTTTGTTATAAACTTTAAATATAGGATATTATTTCTGTAAGTGCAACCAACATCAAATGAATAAGAAAATGAAAGGCTTCGTTGTTTTTTATTAGATTTTGTCAATTAAAAAGCTTCATTGGATTGTAGTTCTTTCCATTATTAAAGTTGTTAAGCACACAATTTTGTACCTTTGTGTTTTTGCCTGATTATTTATTTCCTTTTTTCCTCAAATGAAGGTTTGTAATGTCAATCATGACTTGGCAATTGTAGCTAGGCACAGGAGATCTGTCAAGCTTTTAGACAAGGGATCATCAAACTAAATCATTATGCATATAGATGGTACAAATATGATTTCCGGTATCCTAAAAGTTTGGCCAGGGGGATAGAATTATTTACTTTCCCAAAATCTTAAACCCAAGCAGTGTGGGAGACTTTAAACACACAGCACAATCCAGTCATATTTCCAATAGTTTCAAGCTAGAATTATTTGAATCACATATCAACAGAACAGAACAGATATGATCAGAAACTGTGAATTGTGAGCACATTCGATCAATAAACTTCATCTGCAGCTGTTTTTCAGCCATTTAAAAGCAGCCATGTCTGAGTCAGAGCTACAGTTTACAGTTTACAGATGTTTTCATCTATCATGTGGATATTCATCTGCTATTTAGTCAATAGTGAAGGCATCATAGCAAACTAAGTGCCTGCTTTTATATTTAGTGCTGTTGTTTTTTTTTTTTTGCTTAGATTCATATTTGATGGTAGGGAAAATCTATTTGTTCATTGCTGCTGTTTATACTTTGACTTTGCATTTAAGTTTATACTTTAATTGCACTTAAATGCAAATTAGAATAGAAACTGTATAAAAAGTGTACAAACGTACTGACAGTTTTAGATACAATGTACAATGTTATGGGTCAATGATTACTCCTCATCTGTAACACTATATTTTATTGCACAGCAATTGGCCTATCTGGCTTCTTCCCTAACAAGAAAATAAATTATTAAATCATTTTTAATAATTAGATTATTTTAAAATTTCCTTTACCCTGATGTGCATGAACAAAGCTGTTGAATAGTCAGCATACTGCATGCACTGTGATTTAGACTTTAGCTTTAAGCAGTCCCTATGGGAAACATACTAATGGATCCAGTGCTGATGTAAAAGTGGACAATCACTAATGCACACAATTGGTCAAATGTTTTTATGTGATATGAATTTCCAGGTAAGAGTTTGCCAGATTTAGACTACAGATTGCAATCAAATAGAAAACATCTTTGCAGGAGCCTGCTTTTCCAATCCCCTACTTTAGCTTGCACATAAATGGAAGTCAACGGACTGAAAAATGTGGTGTGACCACCTCTTAACACACATTTAAATTGCCATAGATATTTTATTAATGATATTTGCACACATTTTCAAATCCATTTCTCCTCATTATTCCCTGTCTGTTGACCTTGACCATTCATTCTCAGTGTCCCAACTGTAAAACTGAAGTAGGTACCATACTGCAGGTTCTAGGTATTATCATAGAAGCCATACTGCATGTGGTCATCCTAAAAGTGCTGCTGAAAAATCCTATTTGGCATCCAACTACAATTACATCAGTTTTATTAGATTTGAGCCTTCCAAGCAGACACATTAAGATATGTGCCAACAGGAAATTATATAATGTTAACCCGTGTGGCCTGAGGAAAACATTTTATTGCAGCAGGTAAGTGATAAGATGCCCTTCACACAAGGATTGGCATAAGATGATATTTACTTTGGTCTCACTGGAACTTTCGGCATGTGCTCTTTATTCTGACAGATCAGTTCTAGAAGATATGAATGCTTTATTAGGATTACCTTGCCTCATATATCTACACAGTACACACACTTAATAAGGAGTGTGGTTCAACCTTAGAGGGATATTTCCTTTCGGTTCTCTGTGGCAGTGGCAAGGCTACATATGAGCCAGGGTGGAACTGGTCCAATCACATTGATGATCAGTCAAATGAGACACAACACGGGTTTTTTGTGGAAAAGTCGTAATACAGCAGGAAAGATAAGTATTGAACACGTCATGTTGTTTCCTGGGAATAATATTTGTAAAGAAGCTGTTAACATGGAATTGAACCCGGTTTTCTCCCTGCGCCATTTCATTTTATTATGCATAACTTAGTTTGTAAACTACTTAGATTTTCTTTCTTTGCATATAAGGATGTTTTTTGGTTGTTGTTACCAACATTGGGGGAAAATTTGAAGTCAACGTGCCCTTAGAAATGTGTTTTCTGAGGAAAATGGTGGCTGTGTTTAATGCTATTTTTCCCTGCTGTATTCTTCCTAGTAAATATATACATACCTGCCTACACTACAGTTTTTCCCAGGACTCTCCTGTATTTCACACCCATTTCCTGCCCCCTTCCGTTTTGTTATTTCTCACTAAAAACTCCCGTAAGTCCCACTTCATCTTTTTTGTACAGTCTCCAACACCCAACAACCCTCAATCTGCAACTTTGGTATAGTATCCAATCCCTGGCACCTGAAACCATGTCCTTGATGCAGTTACTAGCACTGCAACCCCCATCTCCATACCCTACCAGGTTTTCTAGAAATTCATAGACAAATCTTGGCAGGTTAAGAGCAAGTAAAACGTAATATGATACTGGTGGATGAGTGCTCATCTTACGTTTGTGTGCTTCTATTCTTTGTTGAATGATCAATCAAAGAGATCGATCCAATTTGAGTGCGCTCCTGCTGTAACGCAGTCTCTTACTGGTCTTCATTCATCGTTCCAACCCCCATACTGGTGATCTGGTTTATTTTGGGTGAACTTCCAGACACATTAAATTAGTTTGTAAGAACCCTAATCAATTCCACAAGGGGTATGTCCTAGCTATAACAAAGCAGTCATGGTAAATTGTGTTTGGGCTTAACACTTGCTCTAAATAAACATATGTGATCTACTAATGTTTGGAGAAATTACATACCAAAATGCTGCATATATATACTAATTGCAGGTACTTGGTATATATATATATATATATATATATATATATATATATATATATATATATATATATATATATATTCTCATTTCATCTTTACAATTTATGGCCCCACCACTGATGACAGAATATACTTTTTGTAGTGCTTTAAACCACCGTCTATATCCATCTAGAGCAGAGATGCCCAATTACATGCTGTAAATGAACTTTTACATTTTTTTCTTTTAAATGTAAATACTGTCACCTGACAGGTAGAGGACAATGCACAAGTCATCTATGAGCAAATAAAGGTGAAGGCAGGAGCAGCTCGACCAGTGTATTCAGCATGAACTCCATTGTGTTATAAATGTGATTTTTTTATGTCTTTACTGTAATAAGGTCAGTATAAAAGGTGAAAAACGATATCGTGCTAGTAGATATGATATTAAAAAAACACTTTTAGGAAATTTCCCTTGGCAAATGTATTGTATTACAGTTTTTGGCCCTTTATAGGAAAAACTTTGGGCATATGATGGGTGGGTAATGGGTAGGATAGTGAGTAAAGGCTAATGGGAGACCATTTTATGCATTTGTTATTTACCATTTGCCAGAAGCATAACATAAATATTAAGGTTTTTTTTTATCTACTTCTTACTTATTGCAATACAGTTTGGTTTTGGGCACCCCTGATCTAGACTGTTCCTGATTAAATTTGGCCCAATTCCCTATATATATTTTTTCCTTTAGTATTTATCATGTGGCAGATTTATTAAATAAAACTTAATGTAGAATTTAAAAAAAATGCGATAACCATATATAAATCACTTTAATATTTTTTTGTAAATGATTACAAAATGCCTGATGCTGCAAACAATTTTTTTCCAGTATAAGTAGTAATTATTATGAATACAATGTGGCTCTTAACAGTAATGCAAATGCAATTTTTCTGAGTTTGACCTCTAGAAACTTAGTGTGCAGGGGTGATAAATCTGCAGTGTGCGGATGATCATACTGAAGACCTCTGAACAATATCAGCTTTGTACCCAGTACAATATATATTAAAGCAAATGCATATAGCTATTTCTAGCTAATAGCCGCGATGCTGCTGTAATGATCAAACATTTGGGGTCCGCATTATTAACCACCACAGCACGTGTGCATCCATCTGACTGAGAACCGCTGCATGCATCATAAGCACACCGTCAACACACACATTAAGTTACCGTCACTCGGTGCCGTCTTACCGTATCTGAATGCAAGTCCTGCTGTTGACACAGTCGATACAGAAATGAAGTTTGTTCCTTTAACAGCGTCTGTCGTGTCGTGAGAAACACCGTCCCCCCGACGTTGAGACGGACCCATTTGCCGTTATTTCCTCCGGTGGTATTAACAGCTGAACCGTTTCCGATGATATTTTCAGCGCCAGTGGATTCAACATCTGTCGAGGTGGTCGTCGTTGCTCCTTCGCTTCCCTCGTTGTCTTTGTTGTTGTTATTGTTGTTGTTATTGCTGTTCAGATTGCTATGGGTTGTTATTGTTCCTGAAAGGCATTCTATTTCCGGTAAACCCCGAGGCGCCGCCGTTTTTCCTTTGTCCTCCGTTGCCATTAGGCTAAGTTACTGAACTAAGGACGGTGCGTGTGGTGTGTTCGCGGACTGTCGGTACTCTCTTGGATGCTGCTCGGATGCCGTTCTGACTCCCGCGGCGAACGGCGTGCGGATGATTTTTTTCGTATCATAGAAGTGGGCAAAGCGCAGGAGCTGATTGGCTAGAATCCTCTGACGTAATCTCCCCGCCCACTTGAACGTTGACGCGCTTTTGACGCAGCTTCTGTGATGCTGAACGTGTTTAGCAGCAATAAACATTACTTTAGCGGCAGTAAATATTTCAATATATTTTCTAACATTTTCTAATTATCACAAACACTCAAATTGTAGGTAATGTTGCTTAAGTGCTGCTTTTATTAAAGCAAAACATTCAAATCAGTTTTATGCTATTATTGAGAAACACTACAGCCAATTTAGTTTATTCAGTTCACCTATAGCGCATGTCTTTGAATGGTGGGGGAAACTGGAGCACCTGAAGGAAACTCACGCCAACACAGGGAGACCATACAAACTCCACAAAGAAATGTCGACTGACCCAGCAGGGGCTCAAACCAGTGACCTGTGAGGCGACAGTGCCATACACTGCGCTACCATGCAGCCCAAGTAAATACTTGTCGGAGACTATTATTGCAGTTGTTATTTATCATTCGCCAAAAGCACACAAAAAATTACGTTGTTTATTTTAAAGTTCTTGCTTATTCAATATTTATTTTCTAAGCAGTCGTATGCATCTCATCTAAATGCTTGGAAAACCAGCAGTTAATCTAAATGCCCCCTTATGTAGCCTTACCATACACTGATTTCAATCTCAAAGCAAGTGTCATGGGGCAAAAATGTATCCGATGACTTTGTGAATCTGTTTGTAAATATCTGATGCATCAGTATCCTCTACACTGCTGGTCATACACTGTACCAGACACCTCTCAGTCTTGGCTTGATCTCTGAAAGCAAAGAGTAGAGGCTGCATGGTGATGAATGTAAAGTTGTAGGTCTGAGGAAGCCCCTGATGAGCGGTTCGATTAAAACGACTCCAAGAGAAAAGTGGAAGTCCATTTTGACTAGTGGGTCCGTTCACAGCTTCGGCTGTAAACATCTGGGCCATGCGATAATCTGCAACCTATAAATGCATGCTGCCTCCATTAGGATCTCTCTTTAAGCTGGCACTTATGTAACCAAAATAGACCAAAACAACATACCTTAGTATCATAACAGCCCCCTGGATGAGGTCGTCGGAGCCTCAGATCATTACGGCAACAGATGGATTTACAAGGATGCTTCTTTGAGTATGGGTCTTTTCTGTAATCTAATGTGACAGAGGAACGACTGTTCATCAAAGAAATGAGATTAAAGAAAGCAGATTAAAGCAACATTTCTGAAGAATTTCCAAACAGAGACTCACCGTTGTACCTCATGATATCTTTCAAGGTCTCCAGACTAGTGACTTTTCCCTGGTCCCTGCGAAAAATCTTTGCACGTGGTGAAAGGTCATATGAGAAGTCTTGGCCATGCTTTTTCCACATCACACCATAACCACTCGCTTGGTAAATGTCTGAGTGGAAAGGAATGTTGTAGGATGCCCAGTAACCTATTGAGGTGATTTGTAAAGCATATAGGCTTGTTCAATGATGTATTTCAACCTTGCATTCTCTTAAATTTAATCTCGCTGAACTGATCATATGCCTCACCCTGACGTAGTGCTTGAGACTGATCCGAATACACCACCAGACCAGGGATCTGCTCCACAACAGTCAGACTCCAGTCCTCAATCTGCCGTCCAAGTGAAATTCTTTTCAGGTCCACCACCATATATTGGCTATTGTAAGTCCCTGGCAAAAAAATAAATAAATAAATCATCCAAGAACATTAAAAAACATGAAAAATTACAAGATGCAAAGAACTATATTTAGCCACATTATATAATTAAAGAGAAAGTTCACTCAAAAATGAAAATTCTGTCGATACTAACTCACTCTTACGTTTTTTTTCCAGTCTTTCCATTGACAGATACAATTATGCAAATGAAGTGAGAGGAATCATTCAGTGTTAGGGTTAACTGGTTCTCCCCACCTACCTGATTTAACATCCACAAACCAGGATTAAAGCATCTTCTTTTAGAATTGTACTGACATGCGGCTGTGATGATGAATTACTTAAGTGATTTTACTGTATTTATTTATTAAAGACATTTTAAACTTGTAAAACTCATTCTTAATTACATTTGATTATGATTGATGATCACAACGAGCTGAACAGATCTTTTAAACCCAGTAGCCTTGAGCACATTTTGTGGATATGATTATACGCGTTACTATGGAGACATGTTAAAATGTGGCTGTCAATCAATTCAGTAGGCGGGGAAACAGCACTCCTCTGTGACAATGTGGTGGGCCTCAAAATGAGAGGGATTTGGATCTTATTTTAACTCTAGGAAATTTAAAAAAGAGATTTATTGTGTTTTTATCACTTCAGTATGACTGTGGACACACTATACCTACACAGAGTTCTGTCCAAACAGTTTACAAAAGTTGATTTTCATCATAGGTGCCCTTTAAGGGCATTTTAAGGGCCCTTTTTAGGGACTGTTCACTCCATTAAATACATTTATTACATATTACACATTTCTTTACATTAAATAATCTACTCAACTTCATTTTATAATTTGTACATATTTCTTTATTTTGTGTAACACAAATGAAGTTGTTTAAATGATCTTTTCCCCCCAAAAAATTGCCATTCTATGAATAAGGATAGACTCTTAGGATAGCACTCTTTTCATCACTATGATTGGGACTAATACTAATACTGATGCATTCTTGAATTATATTGGTTATACATAGCATCCAAACTCGGTTGCACCATTAGGTAGGAGGGGGTTCCACCCACAATAACAGTCGAAACATTCCTAAAGAAATCTTTGTGTTCAACAGAAGAAAGGCATGCAAATGATGACAGAATTTTTTACTGTGCATGAATTATCCCTTTAATGCTACACCAGAATCTCAAGAATTCTGTGCTTTTTACTGGCTGTGACGAAAGACAATACCAGTGTACTCCAAATACAGACCACAATATTTGCATATAATGATGGACTTTTGATTCGTGTATGATTGTCTCACCTGAGTTGTGCTTGGCAAATATCTGCGCCCATTGTTTTCCAGTGCAGGCCAGCGAATGTGCCGCACGCACCCTCTGCCAGGCCAACAAAGCCTTCGGGGTCACCAGGGAGAACAAAGATGTGTTGAACACGTTGTTTGTAGTCTGAGTCACAAAAAACCCTGTTCCCAACAAATAAAAGTCATCCAGAGATGACAAGGTCCCTGTAAAGCATTTGATAAATAGTACTAAATTAATATGAAGCTGCTTTGTCACAATCTACATTGTAAAAGCGCTATACAAATAAAGCTGAATTGAATTGAATTGAATATAGATTTGATTAATAAAAATCAAATACAAACCTATATACAGTATTATATGCATTGTTTTATACTGCAAAAAATGTGAAATGCATTTTGCAGAATTTGAATTTTCCAAATTATAGTCTGATAAATAGTTTATTTTGTAATTATTTTGTACTTAAAGAGACCCAGAGATGGCTGAATGGATTAATAAATTGTAAAACGCCACTGTTTAACTTTATTTATTTATTTAACATTTAACATTTTTAATGGATTTAAAAATGAAAATTTACTCACCATTACACCCTCAAGTGGTTCCAAACTTTTATGAGTAAATTTTTTTTCTGTTGAACAACAGAACATATTTTGAAGAATACAAGAAATCTGTAAGTATTGAGTTCCACAGTAGGAACAATGAATACTATTGAAGTCAAAGCGTACCGGTTTCCATATTTCCAAATAACATATTTTGTGTTCAACAGAAAAAAACTAAAACAGGTTTGTGACAGGTGAAGAATGAGTAAATGATGACAGAAATTCCTACAAAATAGCAACTTTTCATTTTCCATCAGTCTTAGTAAATGATGTATCTACAGAATAGTCAAGCTTTAAATAGTAAATTATCTAAACTCTTCTTTTTTTTGAGTGAGATGCTAATAGTCTGATACGAATCAATGACCTATGCTAAGCTAAGCTAAAAGTGCTCCCACCAAACCTGTAGATTTATCAAAAAATGGTTTACACCCAACTGTTTAAAGTGGATTGTTCCTTTTATTACCTGGATAGCTGCTAAATGACAGTCTTCTAATGCCATTACATTTACGTTTCAAGTTCCAGTGCTTGTAGATTCTCATGCTGGCTGCATAAGTGTACCAGCTGGAGTGACCGAGCAACAGATTCTCATATCCAGGTAACATCTGCAGAGAAAATGAGCACAAAACAATAAAAGCTAAAACAACAAAAGATGCACGTTGCACGTTGATTAAAATGTTGGTGAGGTGGAGTAAATCAAGGCCATGTCCATCTTGGGCTGCCTCAAATATTCAGATTAAGTGGTCTGGCAAGGGGTTTTAACATGCCGGATTCATATTCCATTACTTTAGGTTTTAGTGAGTCCAGGACGTGTTGGTTATATGTGGTGAAGGCGTTTAGCCTCTAACCTTGATGAGAGCAGAACAGTGACTCATGCCTGGCATTCTGAAGGAGTCCCGAGACGAGTTGGAATGCCTTTTCAGAACAGGGATTAAGTCTAGCAAATCCCCAATACCATTGAGGAGCTGAACTGCAAACATGGACAGTGGCTACAGGAGTTGAAATGCAAGCATGTAGTATAAAAAACATTGATCGTCAACGAATGTATACAACTTTAAAAGTTCACCGGACAAACTTTGCAAATGTCTATGAGTATCAAAGCTACAAAATTATTTATATTGTACAATTTCACATTTCCTGACCTTCTTCTGTCTACTTTTGGCCCAAAATTCTGCTCCAGCATGCAGTCCATCCATCTGAGCCACCAGAAGACCAACATGGTGCCACAAGGGATCACTCTTGCCATTTAATTTCACTTGTGCTCTTGTCCACGAGTTCTGCTCACTGTTTCAAAAAGTGGAAATGTAACAGTTCAGTATTAAGTAGTATAAGTTCATGCAATAGATGACTGTCCAATTATAATCTAACTATTCTTGGACCCACATCAATGCACAATAAGGCACTGGGTATTTTAGGTGCACAACGGTTTTGTCATCATCCTCTTTCAAAAAAATGTAAATTAGACAAAATACTAGATATACCACCAGTAACAATAATTAATAGTAATGTTGGAATCATTTAAAAAAATAATTTTTCTAGCTGATGTACAGTATAACTAAAACACTAACAGCCAATCAGAATCCATCCTCCTATCATGAAAACTTAAAAAAAAAAAAAAAAAAATCTACATCATTATTGCTATTGTTATCTTTTGTGTGAGTGGATATTAAGATATTGCGAACACAAACAGTCGCAAAGTCTCTGAGTCTTTCTTGTGTATTTTATTATGAATAAATTGTGTATTTGGTCCCACTTTATGTTGTGTCCTTAACTACTATGTACTTACATTAAAAAAAAAACTCAATGTACTTACTGTGTTCATAATGTATTTGAGAACACTTGTGGTGCTTTTGAGTTGGGATAGGGGTTGGGTTATGGACAGTTTTGCTGGTATGGGTATGTTTAAGAGTGGGTTAAGGTGTAAGGGATGGTCAACAGTGTTTTTACAAATGTAATTACAAAAGTTAATTACAGATGTAATTACATACGTGTTAAATTAAGCATAAGTACACTGTAAATACATGTATTTACACAATAAGTACATTGTAACAAACTATTAATTCCTGTGTAAGTACATATTAGTAAGAGCCACTTAATATAAAGTGGGACCATGTATTTATTTATTTTCTATGACGGTTAATTCACTGCACGCAAGTGTATGTCATCATGTCTGAGATTAAAGCCTTTTTGTTATAGCTTTGTTTCATTTATTTAGATAATGAATACCATTTACCTCATAAAGCATTTCAGAGGTTTCAAAACACTTCGATCCTTTATTATCTGAGGATACATATTAAAGTAATGGTTTATCATCTGTCTGCAAACAAAAAATATTGGACTATTAATATATAGACATATTAAATATAACATATACTATAGCAGGGGCGTACTGGCCATCTGGCAATTCTGGCAAATGCCAGAAGGGCCGGACCAATTTTTAAATGTGGGCCGGTCAGTTTTTTTTAAATATGTATTGTTTTTATGTGCAGACAGCTTTTATCTCTTGCTAGATATGATATCATGATGATGATGATGATAAAAATAATAATAATAATAATAAATGTTAAATGTTAAGCATTTGGCCCAATCGGCAACTGCCGTCTGGTTTCAAGACCCAATCCAAGGTTACCCGGACATAATCAAAATTTGGCAAGAATGTCATATTATTTCACCATCTTTACACTAAAATAAATAGTAAATATGCATGTCCGTGGGTGGGTCTGTATCGGTGTGGTAATGTGGGCTGGTGTGGCAACAGTGCCAGGGCTGAATTTTTGTCCCAGTCCGCCCCTGTACTATAGGTTACACTGGGCTATTACTATACTAAAATTACTACTGTAAGTAACACCAAGGTCAATGTATTTTAGCATATAACAACATTCAGGACTATTTTCCTATGAAAAAGGCAGCATGCTTTTTCTATTGAAAGAAATCATGACGTAAGCCTTGGGGAATTACTCAAACGTGTGCTTTGTAATAACTCCATTTTAAAATACTTCATTAAATTGTAATCATTATATTTTAATATATGTTTTCAGTTAACACACTAATGCTATTCAAAGGTAATATATTTTAAATATCATTCTGGAACTTTATCAGTACCAATGTGTACAAAATACATCACAATCATTTTACTCTTTTAGTGTATTTTACTTGTAGTACTCTTTACATTATTAAGTACTCTTTTTTAAAAAAGTATGCTACAGAGTTTATTTTCACAAGGACTTTCAATATAATGTGCTTTAGAAAACTTGCGAAGCTGTAAGGTATCCTTCAAGGTATCCGGCCAAAAAGTATGTGACTTCATCATTCTCCTGGGATTCTCCATAACCAGCTTGCACTTCCAGCACTCCCCATCCAGAAACAGACAAACTATCATTGAAATAACCAAAGGCATCTCCATTCTCTTCCATCACATCCTCTTTCAGGACCACAGACCTCTGAACAGCATCCCAGTACACAGTGGCTCTCTGAACATCTTAAACAATTTAAAAAGACCACATATATCAATAAACATTATGGGTTAACTTGTTTTATATTGTCTTGGTTTGATAAACAAATGCCAAATATGATAACAAGTTTGTTGTAGTTCTAGCCAAGCGTTTTCAACTTGGTTAAAGGGATATTTTACGCAATATTACTCGCTATATACAGTAGCCTACTCAACCTCGAGTGGTTCCAAGCCCTATGAGTTCAAGATATTTAAGAAGAAAATCGTTTAAAGAAAGTTGAAACCCTGTATCCATTGATATCCATAGTAGGAAATCAGTCGGTTACTGGTTTCAGCTTTTTTCAAAATGTGTTTTGCAGAAAAAAGGTAGTTTAAACTGGTTTGGAACAGGTAAAAGGTGAGTTAATAATGACAGTTGTGTCTGAACAATCAATTTAAGGAATACTAGCCTTTTAATGTTATGTAAACATACAAAAAGACGTGTTACCACTAAAACGTGACTTTAAGTGAGTGAAATTAATTTAAAATACTCACGCTGAGCCATTACGAATGTCGCCGCGAGGACGCACAATATAAATACCCTTGTGACGTTAAATCGATACATGTTTCACGCTGAATTAGACTAAGCTTAAGTTTACTTTCTGTATCTGGTTAATCATGGTATGTAATCTGTAATCAAACACTGGGCAAATATAACATCCCAGAATATAATGCTAGACTAAGGTACGAAGAATCAAGATTTAGTTATTCAATTTAGAACTCGAAGACGTTGTATGTCCACATTAACTGGTTTTCTGTCGCAGATCGCCTTGTGTGTGATTAAAAGATTTCCACCCCAGATGGGACTCGAACCCACAATCCCTGGCTTAGGAGGCCAGTGCCTTATCCATTAGGCCACTGGGGCTTGCGTCATGGTGTGTGTAGAATGTGTATTACAAACGGTCTTATAAACGGAATGCAAGTCGTACATTTAATCTAACTTGTTTTACCAAATTTTAAATATAATTAATATATATAAATGATTTGTTATTCAGCTATATATTTACATAAATCAGCATTCTTATTTAAGTCACACATTTGTCTAATGTTAGATTTATTTCAACGTGCAAATATCTTATTGATTTATTATAAAAATAAAAAAAACTGTATTTAAACTGACACAAATTAAAATTTTAATCCTAAAAATAATGACGTTTTCAGTAACGCTGTGCTATTATAACAATCAAAAATATTAATCGTGCTTTTATTATGAAAGAACATGACACCGGCACTTTCAAAGAACTGCCGCCTCCATGTGCCTCCTGTTTTGATGGTTTTATTCTGGTAAGTTAGTTATCTGCTATCTTCCTCCATTAAAATCCGCGCCGAGGTGTGAGGTAAATAGAAAACATTTACTTACTTTTTTAGATTTAACCAAAGTTTCTGCGCTAAATTAGCTAGTTTGAAGTCATGAATGAGATTAATGCTAGTAAGCTAACTCTCTGAGTTAGCTTAAACCGTTTGTGTATCAGCCGTAGTACCAATGATGCAATGATATTGCATTACTAGCTAGCTGTTTGAGGACTATATTGAGATTAGTAATACTGTTTAAAGTTCATCAAGCACATTTCAAATATAACACGTAGCGTTATTTCTTTGGCTGTCATTTATATCCATGTTTAGAGATAACGTTAAGCTAGCAGTGGCTATATTAATATTACAGTCTTAATAACAATGAAGTAAAATTAAGGATGTACTTTTTATATATCCTAAATAAATTCACATGATTGCGAGGTATGTTTTAGGTTTAACGAGATACGTTTTTTAAACACACTTATGTCTTACTAACTTTATTAGAAGAGAAAACGGGGAAAGCAATGGCCTTCGGGGATATTGCTCAGATTACAGAGGCTCTGGCCAAAACTCATGTTGGAGAAGTGGAGTTAAGTTATAAGGGACGAGGGCTGAAGCTGGACAATGCAGAATCAGGTGAGTAAAACGTTCTCTGTATTATCAAATTTGTTTATTTTTCATGTCTTAATCCATAAGCAACATCTCTCGGAATTCCCTCCTTTTCTTTTGTTACAGTAAAAGAGATTGTGGAGGACATTGAACGGTGTCAGGGTCTGCAGTCTCTCCGGTTAGAGGGAAACACATTGGGTGTTGAAGCAGCAGATGCCATTGCAAAGTCACTTGAAGCTAAACGTGAACTGGAGGTAGTTTTAAATTACTAGTAGACATATGCAATAAACTGTGATAACGAGCATACACAATATTGATATCATGGGCTCTTCAAAATGTTAGTTAACGTCTTATAATGCATAAAAAATGTTGATTGGAGTTAATGGCTAATACAGGTCAGTTGAATTTTTGACATACTAACTTAAACATAGTTACTATAACTGCCCTTTTTCTCAGTGTTTATTTTAAATTGAATGCATTAATTAACAATTACTATTAGGACTTTATTGTAAAGTGTAAAGTGTTACCTAGTGTAATTTATAGTCCTTTTGCAATTAAATTTGTTTGAAACATTTGTTTGCTCTCAGCAGATATGTACAATTAAGCAATACAATAATTGTTTGTTTTTCTACGTTACATGAACCTTTTTGCAACTTTGGTCAATATTGTGACAATTGTGGTATAATGTACAGTGATAAAACCTTCAGGATTTAATTGCAGCAAGAAAATCTGATACCATCCTAAACCTAAATACCACTGCACAGTTTTTACTTTCACTTTTCTGCTTTTATAACTTGACATTTTTTTTCTCTCAAAGCAATGTCATTGGAGTGACATGTTTACAGGCCGCCTTCGCTCTGAAATTCCACCTGCTCTGGTAAGCTTTTGTATATCCAGTTAAAAACATTTATTTCTTTTAGGGCTGCACAATGTGATGCACAATCACATTCAGGTATAAGAAATTGTACCTTTTTTTTTTACCATAACTGATTATTTTAATGAATTATTTTTATCATTCAGTTACTGTACTTGAATATTGTTTGACTCAGGAAATAATAAAACACTTTATTTCAATTGTATTTTTCTTTCTTGATTGTATTTATGGATTGATAAGCATAAAATACTTAAAACACATGCAAAAACAGAAATACACTGTAAATAGCACAGACCACAATGAAAATGTGTCGGGGGACTTGTAAAAATGTATAGATTGTTTATTAGATTTTATAGAGGTGCTTTTCCACTGCAGTATCATCCCAATCGATCTAACATTATAAATTCTTCCCAAATAAAGATATTATGAAGTTATCTGGTGAAATTGTATTCTTAGCGCAATGTATATCGCAAGATAAGAAAATATTGCAATGTTAGATTTTTCAAATATTGTGCAGCCGTAATTTATATGCATTCTTCTAAGTAAATTGCTGATATTCTAACCAACGTTTTTCTCCAATTTTAGAAATCACTGGGCAATGCTTTGATGACGTCAGGGGCTCGCTTGACTCAGCTGGACCTGAGCGACAATGCTTTCGGCCCTGATGGAGTGAAAGGAATCGAAAACCTCCTAAAGAGCTCTGCGTGCTACACTTTACAGGAGCTCAGGCTTAATAACTGTGGCATGGGCAGTGGAGGAGGGGTGGTAAGTTTAGTATTAGAATAACTCTGGTCCAACCTAAGAAAACCCTGTTTATCTGCTTGTTATTAGGTCAGTGAAGTAGGCTTTTGCTCTCTGACATGATTATAAATGTGTTAATACTTTTTGAGGTTTACAGCACAGGTTTGTCTGTGTATTTTATTCATTTATTATTATTATTTATTTTAGGTCCTTGCTTCTGCATTGACTGAATGCCATAAGCAGTCAAGTGCTGCTGCCTCCCCACTGAGGTTAAAAGTCTTCATAGCTGGACGTAATCGCCTGGAGAATGATGGTGCCACTGCACTTGCCAAAGCATTTAAGGTCTGAGGCATTACTTATTCATCTATATATATATCATGATTAAGTATCTGGGTGCACATGGATGCATTAAATATGTAAATGAAGACTTTATATTTTTCAAGACCTTATTAGCGTCATCATGGTGAAATGAATGCTGGTTTTCAACAAGATAAAGCAGCACAACAGTTTTCCCTATGAAATTAAATTCATTCATTCATTTTCTTGTCGGCTTAGTCCCTTTATTAATCTGGGGTCGCCACAGCGGAATGAACCACCAACTTATCCGGCAAGTTTTTACGCAGCGGATGCCCTTCCAGCCGCAACCCATCTCTGGGAAACATCCACAGTCACATTCACATACACACTCTTACACCACGGACAATTTAGCCTACCCAATTTACCTGTACCACATGTCTTTGGACTGTGGGGGAAACCGGAGCACCTGGAGGAAACCCACGCGAACGCAGGAAGAACATGCAAACTCCACACAGAAACGCCAACTGAGCCAAGGCTCGACCCAGCGACCTCCTTGCTGTGAGGCGACAGCACTACCTACTGCGCCACTGCTTTGTCCCTGAAATGAAATTAGAAAACAGAAAAATTTAACTAATAATATATCCTAATATTCCTACAAGACCTGTCATGTTTATTTATTAATGTTATTCATAAGAACAATATAGATCATTTTGTGATCCAAATATGGAAAATCATAATTCTATTGTTTTATAAGGTATTTTTTAAATGAATCAAATGGATATTATATCATATAATATAATAACATTTTGTAAACGTAAACAACCATTTGCATTTCGGTCACATTTTGTCATTCAAATAAAGGAAGTTTTATTGTGTTGTGTTACTTGCTTCAGTCTAATGAATTAGAATATATTCTATAACATTTTGATATAAAATACATTTATATAGTTTCTATTATGAAATTATGTTTTGTAAGTAAAATAATCATATGGGCCTGTTTTTATTCAAAATTTTATTTTATAACCCAATTGCTTTTATTTTATAACAAAAAAGCAAAAAAAAAAAAAAAAGTTAAAAACAAAATTGTAATGACAAAACTACCTCATTTTCCACTTGTTTTGTTTTTAACAGTTATTAGGCAGCCTTGAAGAGGTCCATATGCCACAGAATGGAATTAACCATCCTGGTATCACTGCTTTAGCTGCTGCCCTGAAGCACAACCCAAACCTTCAGGTGCTCAACCTCAACGACAACACATTTACTACAAAAGGATCCAAAGCTATGGCTGAGGTATGATCCCTATATAATGCCACAAAACTGTGTGTTTAGAAACTGTGTTTGTAATTGGTTGTGTGTGATTTATTTCACATTTAGGCCATTAGACACCTCCAATGTCTTAAGGCCATCAATTTTGGGGACTGTCTAGTGCGCTCAGAAGGTGCCATTGCTATAGCAGGAGCCCTTAGAGAGGGACTGCATCTGCTCAGGGTGAGTCTATGCCAACACTGAATCTATCCAAAACATTTAAATGCTTCCATTCAGTCTTGAAACTCTTTTTGTAATTGCTGTACATTTCTAACACGTGCCCTTTTCATAGGAGTTGAATTTGTCGTTTGGGGAGATTTGTGAAGCTGCAGCAATGGTGGTTGCAAAGGCTGTTCAGGGCAAAGCTGATCTGGAGAAACTAGACCTTAACGGTAAAGAGACTTTGTTGTCAGAGCATTTTAATATTACACAAATGTACCTCACTCAAATCTTTTATTATTTCAAATGATGATGTATTACAGTGTGTAACATATAATGCTGTGACGATACACCTTATCATATTAAACCATTGAGCAAGAGGCTTTTGGTTCAGTATGCATTACAAACCAAAGGGTGGAGCCGAACCCGAATACGGTATTCGGAAAAGCACGAATAGCGTGTTTTTACGAATACTTGATTGTATTCGGGAGCAAGAAAAACACTATATCAAAAAGCAGCGTTTCCT